ACTGAGATCCCAAAGATTACAGTTGGAGGACATCTTGGGCAGAAAGAGTCACTAGATTGCATGTCCAAAATAACAAGCAAACAGAAGTTGGTCAATCATAAGGCCTATAATCCAGAATGAAGGGAAAAAAAAGCAGTTCTTCAATTGCTCACATTTCAACTGAAAACAAATTACAACAATAAAATGTAACAGGCTTATCATAAGTATCAATTTATTTTAAACTTTTTGAATTGAAGGAGTTGCTAGCAAGTTCAGGTAGAGTTGGGGAAAGTATTTGTTTCCTTAAATTTGTATTGTGTCCTCTTCTTTTGTTCTTTTTTTCTGATAGACTCTGTCCTTAAAATAACTATGCTAAGCCAATGAAGTTTTTTTTTTTTTTTTACAAAGCATGAATATATTATGGAGATAAGAAGAAAATGGGGGAAGGGTTAACAAGTTTGACAAGAAATGTACATATTACCTTATTTATGTAACTATAACCCCTCTGTACATCACCTTTACATTAAAAGTAAATGAAGAAGGAAATGCATAGAACAGAGAAAAGCTAAGTTGTTCCTATAATTTAAATCCTGTATAAAGTTGTTTCTGACTTTTTTGTTTTGCAGTGAAGAAACAACTGGTGATATTAGTGACTCCATGGATTTTGTACTGCTCAACTTTGCAGAAATGAACAAGCTCTGGGTGCGAATGCAACATCAAGGACATAGCCGAGATAGAGAAAAAAGAGAACGAGAAAGACAAGAACTGCGAATTTTAGTGGGAACAAATTTGGTGCGCCTCAGTCAGTTGGAAGGTGTAAATGTGGAACGTTACAAACAGGTTTATATCTCTTTGCCTATCATCTTGTTGTAATATATAAACTGAAATCTAATTGTTAAACATTAGATTGAAAAACCTTTTTTCAGTATCTTTTATCCAGACCTAATATAACTGAAAGACACACTATGTTTGTAGGTTGAAAGACTTGGTATTGTGAAGAAAGAGTTTTCTTAAATTTATCTACAGATTCGGTATAATTTCAATCAAATACTAGCAGGCTTTAAAAAAAATTGAAATCTAAAATTGTATATAAAAAAAGGTCAGCATAGCATAAACATTTTTAGAGAGGATAAAGTTGGAGTACACAGCCTAAATTCTAGGCCAGCACCTAAGTGTATATAGTGTGTATTAACACCTATAAATATGGATAGACACATAAAGGGATAGTGAAGAAAGACACAAATCTACGAAAAAAAAATGAAGTGGGGAATCGGTGAACTTTCACTGTAAATCACTAGATATGATATATTTTAACATTATAAAATGTCTGGTATACAACTAGTAAACTCAGCAGTTGTAGGGCAAAAACAGCTAAAACAAAAGAAAATGAGTAGGTAGGGCTTTATTTTAAAAAATAAGAAGGGAGAATTGGGTGTAGGCCAGCATTTGTCTATCATGCATAAGGCCTTGGGTTCCACTGTCAGCATTTCAAAACCAAAACCAGAGAGTTAGATTTGCCAATCCCTAGATTAGAGAATCCATTCTTAGTTTATGTGTTTGTGTGTGACCCAATTTTGGGGGGTGGGGGATGGTCTTGGGCCTTAAACTCAGGGCCTGGATGCTCACAGTTAGCATTTTACCGTAGTCATAGCTCCACTTCTGGCTTTTTTGATGGCTAATTGGAGATAAGAGTGTAATAGATTTTCCTGCTCAGGTAGGTTTCTAACCACAGTCCTCAGATCCCAGCCTCATGTGTAGCTATAATTATAGGACTGGGCTAGCAGTGCCCAGCCCAGTTATTTATTGGTTTTTTTTTTTTTTGTGCCAGACCTGGATCTTAAACTCAAGGCCTGGGTACTGTCCCTGAACTTTTTGTCTCAAGGCTATTACTCTACCACTTGAGCCACAGTACCACTTCTGGCCTTTCCTGAGTAGTTTACAGGAGATAAATTGTCTGACCTGGGCTGACTTTGAACCATGATCCTCAGATCTTAGCCTTCTGGATTACAGGCATGAGCCACCAGCACCAGGTTCCCCAATTCTTTTTTTTTTTTTTTTTGGTCGGTCGTGGGGCTTGAACTCTGGGCCTGGGCGCTGTCCCTCAGCTCTTCAGCTCAAGGC